GAATACATATGCACACATACACACACATATATCTTTTAGATACATACATACATACATACATACATACAAAGAGACAAACTATTACACATCAAACACCCAGAATCACAGAAGGATCAGTCTACTATGTATTTAGTTGAACGGTAGTAGGGAAGATTAAGCCAAATCAATCAATCTTATTTTATTAAATTATTTAATTACTTATGGTTAGCAGGAAATACACGTAGATGTTCATACCAATAAAGTAGACTAGCATATGGAAAACAGAATAGAAAATAAAAATATAGCGAATAATACCAATGAAGAAAGTAGGCAAACCCAAAGCTATGTCACAGGAAACAAGGACGGATATGGTTTTTAAATGTCCTTCACTTATAAAGGCATTCAAGCCAGTCTCCATTTACGTGGTAGGTGGTTTTAAAATTTTGAATATTTGAAAACAGAATTTATGGAAAGGCTGTTTTGGAATAATTGAAATTTATGCATTACTTACTATTATGCCATCTATGTGAACTAAAATCCTATTACTATAACTTATTTCATTAGTTATCTATTTTATCAAAGCAGTAGGATATATGGGTTTCTGGGTAAAATATTTTGTGTTTTGAACTTGGAATCAGGGGCACCTGGGTGACTCAGTCGGTTAAGCACCTGACTCTTGATTTTGTCTCAGGTCATGATCTCGCGGTTCCTGAGTTTGAGCCCCACATCAGGCTCGGGCTGACAGTGCAGAGCCTGCCTGAGATTCAGTCTCTTTCTCTATCTCTCTGTGCCCCTTCCCTGCTTGCTTGCTCTCTTTCTATCTCTCAAAATAAACAAATAAACATTCCAAAAAAAAAACCTGGAGTCAAAGTTTCAAACAAAGTTCTACCCGCAGGACAAAATCCATGGTTTCTTCAATACTCAAATAGGAACTCTAGGCGACCAGTCTGCCATCTCTCAAATATTTATCCACACCTAATTTTTCTGATTTATTTTAATGATGGCCAAATTACTAACTCAAATTAATTACAGCTGTTCATATTTTTTATTCCAATAAATTCTACTTTTTTGTTAAGATAGGAATGGTTTTGGTTTTTTACAACTATGTTATTCCTGAGTAAGAGTACATTTCTTTTCTGTCTTTTTGTTTTTGTTTTTGGTTTTGGTTTTTTTGTTTGTTTGTTTTGACTTACATCCAAGTTAGTTAGCATGTAATGCTATAATGATTTCAGGAGTAGATTCCAGTGATTCATCTCCTACGTATAACACCCAGTGCTCATCCCAACAAGGAGACTACATTTCTAATCTTAGACCCATTTATTTCACATGCTGAAGAAGATAAAAACTCCTGAAAGCCGTAGGAAATAATCAAAGTCATGGCTAGGTCCTGCTGACTGCCACCATGTTTGAGAAGAGACACACTGGCAAAAGCATCCAACATTATCCAACTTTGAAAGATGCCTTCAACCAACTCCCGAAGTATTGTTTGTTTTACACTTAAAAGTAAATTATTGTATAGAAATAATGTTATTGGCATCATCCATTCAATTTCTGGTTCCTAGAAATAAGACCAAGAGAACAAATAGAGCTTCTTGTAGGTGAGAAGTCAAATGAATACTTGCACAATCCAAGAAGGTTCTAGATCCTTCTTTCACTTGATTGTTCTCTTGTTTGGTAAACACCAATTGAGACTTTTCCCTGTATCAGGAATAGCTCTGGCAGTGACCATGATCGTTATGGTCCCTACTGCTATGGAGTTATCTCTGGTTGGAGAAACAGACTTTAAGTAATGAATGATACCATTTTAATTTATTTTACTAAAATCATGACAAACCCAAAACATGTGGAAATATACAACCAGGGCACCTATGTATTCTTTCAGGATGAGGAAGACTTCCTTAAGGAAGTGACTTTTGAGGTGAATTCTAAGTGGGAGAGAAGAGTGTTCTAGAAAGAGAAAACAATGAAAATGACAGAGCCTCATGGAAGCAGAAATGCTATTTTATAAGAGATATAAAGTGTAAAGGCAGGAGTAGAAAAACTGGCTTTCTTGGTAACCTCTAGGCTACCTCTGGAAAGGGATGATGGAGGATAAGCTGGAAGGAATTAAAGCAAATACTTATTCTTCAATGTCATTCCTATAGTTTAAAATATGCTTTAGGAGAATGTAACGTCACATTTTGCCCATTTTAAAAATGAAAAGAAGTGACATATTCTACTCTTTGTCCTTGAGGGTGAGAGATCATTATGATTCCAGGCCGGAGCGAGTGGATGATTCCAATGAGAATTTTCTTGTTACCTAGTTTTTAGATGGCATTAGTCATTAATAAAAAGCCAATGAGTATTTCATGGCCATTTTATTTTAAATATTTTTTTCTTTACTTGATTCTTTTCTTTCTTTCTCTTTTAATTAAATGATGAATGGTTAATCTATTTTCCACTCAGACCCATCGATCCCTTGGCCATCCCACTTTTCATTTATACTCTTTCAGGTACACTCTTCTGGAAAGCTTGATTTTGGACCAAACATGTAAAGCTGAGCTCAATGGAACTTTCTTCATATTGAAATGTCAGAATTTATTCACCTTCACTTCAAACCATATGTGTAATTATTCATAAAACCTATCAAACATGCCACCATATTCACAAAGATGTCTAATATGCAGGTCTCTTGGATCCAACATCGACATACTTCTAGCCTAACATTTACCCACCCCTTCACTGACCTTTATTTTCCTATATCCATGCACAGTGCTGTTCTTTCATTACACTCTCCTGGCCATTTATCTCTTGCCATCTCAAATTTCTGTGATAAGGAGGCTAATAACTTGCTTTCTCAATCCAGACTGCAACCTTGACTCATCTACTCAACAAGCATTTAATACATTTTAAGCAGTGTATTCAGGGCCCCTGTAAGACTTTGATTTGGTACTCATGGCTGGCCTGATAGTTTATTTCTATTACAAACTTACATTTCCTTGGCATATTTTTCTCCATTGGATACAGCATGGAGCTAGGAGCCAGAAGACCCAGGTGTACCCAGGGCCTCTCCGTTTGGTAGAGGTGCAAGTTTAGGAGCTCACCCAGGCCCTCTGGGTCCTCACATCCTCATCTACAAAGGCTGAGGGAGCATGGCAGTCTTTCTCCATCACTGGGCTATACCGAGTGAGGGCCTTCCTTGACCTCTCAGAGGAGGAGTGAGGACTCCAAAATGTAGATTGCCATAGCATCCTGCTTTACTTCTTTAAAATCCTCATTGCTCATGAGAAAGAATGAAATATGGCCCTTTGTAGCAACGTGGATGGAACTGGAGAGTGTTATGCTAAGTGAAATAAGCCATACAGAAAGACAGATACCATATGTTTTCACTCTTATGTGGATCCTGAGAAACTTAACAGAAGACCATGGGGGAGGGGAAGGAAAAAAAAAAGAGGTTAGAGTGGGAGAGAGCCAAAGCATAAGAGACTCTTAAAAACTGAGAACAAACTGAGGGTTGATGGGGGGTGGGAGGGAGGGAAGGGTGGGTGATGGGTATTGAGGAGGGCACTTTTGGGGATGAGCACTGGGTGTTGTATGGAAACCAATTTGACAATAAATTTCATATATTGAAAAATAAAATAAAATCTTCATGGCTCTTGTAATTGCTCTTTAGACGCTGGTTTTTCTCCACCCACCCGGAAGTAATCTCCAGGAAAGCAAGACTATCTTAGTGCCACTAATTATCAGCTGATGACTGATTACTGAGTAACTTTTTAGGCAAGAAGCTACCACTACCATGCTGTCATTGCCATTACTGTCAGTAGCAATGGCAGTACCAGACACAGTCGTAGGAGTTCAATCATTAGCACCATCCAATATACAACAGAAAGAAGCCACAAAATAATATTAGGTCTTATCAATATTCCTTACAAATGTTTCCTCTTTTCCTCTTCATTCTTTTAACTGATAGAAACAAATAACTATATGGTTAAACGCCACAGCAATGGTCCAAAGTACAATACTTTGCTTATGTTATGTATCAATCTTTGAAATGTATCAATCTCTAACCCCCACCTAGAGTATGATCCAAAAGAAAGAAAAGCGTGTTCTTATCCTGAAGCAGATGAAAAACCCTTCCCCGATTTATGGGGACGGATTTGTAAAGAACTACAAAAGCAGCCCCTTATAAGAAAAGGATTTGTAACTGAAAACAAAAGACAGTGAAGAGAATCAAATTCCACAGGAGGAAGAATCAATTCTCTCTCCCCGGGATGATGTGGCTTGACTCTTCACCCTTAAAGAGTAAGGAAATGGACTAAGTGAAAATGCAGTGGGGTGGTAAGGATGCCACTTTTGGAAAGGTGATATGTTTTGAACACGAATTACTGATATTTGGAGGGAGAGAGGGAGAACAAAGCAAGAGAAGATGCCAGGGCAGTCCACCAAGGAAAAGGAGTTTATTGGGCTTTATGAAGAGATCAGTGTAGAGGATAAGCCCAAAACATCCACAGACCAGAAACCCGATGGGACGTCCCCTGATGGCTTCCCAAGGCCCTAGGATCCACCTGCCATCCCAAAGCCTTGTCTGCAGCAGGTGCAGTTTGTTAAGGAAGCACCTTTATTATGTCCCGTTGCTCGGACAGCTTGCAGATGCAGAATAAGCTACCTATTAAAAATATTCCTTCCCAGTTCCTTGGGAAGGTACTCAGTTAAGTGGATTGTGATTGTGACCACCCTCATGTAAACAATTCAGGCCTTTGTAGAAGAATATTTTTACATCATTTAATATGACAACAGAATATTTCACTGATTTAATACTGTTGGAATGCTAGCACTACCTGTGTGCATTCATTTGCTTGAAATTTACCAAATCCTTGCTGTGTATCTTAGGAAAAAAATAGGTAGATCCTGGGAAAATACTGTCCAGGATGGAGCAAAATACTGTCCCTGACTCCAGACATAGAGTTCGGAGAACCGGGGATTTCCTTGGATAAAAGTCAAAGAACTCTGCTGCATGAGTTTAAAAATGGTATTTACTGCACCTGGAGGCAGGCTGGGGCGCGTCCCTGGGGCTTGTTGACATCCACGGCTACCAGCTGCCATCCACCAGCAGCGTCTTCATGGAACATCTTCAAGACAAAGAAGGAGATGAGTCAGAGACACTTAATATGGAACATCGAGAACTCCTACTTTATGTCTCCAGCGCTTACATTTTTTATGTTATCAAAGATGTGTCTTTTTATGGATTTATATTTAGAACATGAGTCATTCCAATTATGTTCATTTGAACACTGAAAACTTAAGTGAATAATAATCATAATGAGAATGATGGTAATCGCTAGCCTAAATTTATTGAGCCCTTGCTATGCATCAGGTCCTTTCTGCTTTATACATCCTTGGCATATAATTGCCCAAATATTCTTCTTGACTAGACTTTAAAGTAGGCATTTTATCCCCATTAGATTGGTTATCGATTATTACATATTAGACCTGGAAGAAAATGAAAATGAGAATTCCCAAGCATTATGCCCGGTGTGATTTTTACTAGGAGTTGTAAATTTTTATCTTTATTTAGTGGACATTTCTCACTGAGCCAACAGAAAAATATTCTCTGGATAAATAATATAAGAAGCATGCATGTGGCACAGGGAATAAGGCTGGTGTTATTTTAATGGTAGGAGACTGACATATCACTTAGACTCTGTGAAATTATTTTAACTAAGCCAAATTAATCTGCTCAGCAGAATTTTATGTACATATTTATGAAGGGAAAAGTAGTTTCTTTTGCCTTAAAATACATAAGTGATGAAATCCAGAATGGTACAGGATACTAAAATCTGATATTTATTGGATTGGATATCTGGATTGTTGGCTGCCTAGTTTATTATCTTACTGCACATTCTACTACCTCAAAAATTAGTCATCCATCAATATTACAGCCAGTGGGAAGACACTGCCCACTATTTCCCCACTAGTATATTTTCTTTCCAATTCCTTATGGGTTTGTGTATAGCGGGAGGGGTGTGGTTGGCAGTGAGGTAAATTGGGATTAACGATTTTTATTTTTCTAAGACACTAACTATAAGCTAGTTTTTTTTTTTTCCTGCCCAAGGCCATAGTTTCACACACATAAGTAGACATTTCCTTTGCCATACTTATTCATGTCCTTGTGTTAGTCTGTGTTCAAAAGGGTAATTATCGATGGAAATATTAGCCTATGCAAAGATCCCATACCTAAGATTCCTGGGAGCAGATCATTTGCAGAAAGACAACTTTCCCTCTATAAAATAAGTGACATAGTCAGGGACAAGTGCCAAAATTCACAGACCATATATGTATTTACCAGAAAACAGTTTTTCTAGGGGTGCCTGGGTTGTTCAGTTGGTTAAGCGTCCAACTTGGGCTCAGGTCCTGATCTCACGGTACATGGGTTCAAGCCCCACATCAGGGTCTGTGCTGACAGCTTGGAGCCTGGAGCCTGTTTTGAATTCTGTGTCTCCTGCTTTCTCTGCCCCTTCCCCGCTCACACTCTGTCTCTCTCCCTCTCTCTTAAAAATAAACATTAAAAATATTTTTTAAAAAAAGAAAACTTTTTTTAATCGTTGGATTGAGAATTCTCTACAATGCCAACCTGCAACTCAGAAAAATGGTGTATCAGTTGTTTACGTCCTAGAATCAATACTTTTCGAAGACTGCATGGGGGGCTTTTTGCCAAGTATGCTACTTATTTTGAACTTCAAAACATATACAGAGAGCACCTTTCGTAGGACATCCTACAAAATATTGTTCCACATATGCTCAATTTAATTATCCCTTGAAACAGTACCCTGATTTAATTTACATTATGCTATGTTCACCCCAAGGATAGCTACCATCTGTCTATATACCACATGTGTATTTTTAAGTGACAAGATGGGGGTGCACATATACCCAAAGAATCTTTGATCAAAGATGGAAGTTACAAATTACTTCGCTCAGGTGTCCGTGTACAGGATTCTGATTCCCTTTAGAATGAATTTTGAAAGGTATTCTTAGTGGTAGAAGCAAGCACATCCCCATGAATAGGCTCATTCTGAGACTACATACATTGGTTGAAATGCAAACCTTTTACGGTGTCTTTTAAAGTTCCCGTCAAAATGCTGGGTGTCTCCTTTTAAGGAGAAAAGACAAAAGCAATCCTGTCAGTCACTAGCTAAAAATCTTCTGTATGTGCAGCCTATGGTCTCTTATCATGACACAAAGGATCCCTGGGGCATAGATTTGCTTTGATCAGCAGCAGACTAGTTTTCTCTGTTAAATTATTTTTTTTCCAGCTGACCAAAATCAAATGAATCAATTTAATTGTTAGTAAAAGTGTTCTCTCAAGGTCACCCCTTTGTATAAAATGAAGTGAAAGAAATTCAGACATGTCCAAGGTTCCATTTGTCTTTAGTCCCCTGAATTATAAAACAACATTTAGATTGGTTAATGTGACAGCTATGTGAGGTAGACAACAGGACATCCCAAGCCAGGAACCCTCAGGGCTCGAGTCCTGAGCTGCCAGTTGTCCCTCCATATCCCTCAGTATGACCCTAGGGAACTATAATTCGTACATAAAGGTTAGGTACACGTTAATTGCCAGAGCCTAGCTCGAGTGTTTTTTGAGCACACATAACACAAATGTAGCCTTGTGTGGCCTTCAAGCTTAACAGTTTCGTTCTCCTCCAGGCAAAGTGAAACAAGCTTATCTCCACCATGAATCAGCGTAATTGGAAGACCACATGACTGGTGACTGGTGACAGGTGCTGAGGTGAAGCAGCTAAGGTGTGAGAACAGAAGCCTGGGATGGAGAGGGCTAAGCTCAGGATGTTTCCTACTAGCACTCCGTGCATCCCAGCATCCAGCTCTGGGACGATACACCCACACTACTGTGGACCTATGCACGTGCTGTTTTAACACAGACCTATGGGTTTCCTGACCTTTAACCCAACACACAGCTGAGCATGGGGCAACCGTGACCCACGGCTAATAATTGTGCAGGTATGAAAGCCATCATCTCCATCAGAGCTCAGACAAACTAATGATTACTCCTCTGAAATTTTCCACATCATTTTCTCTTTGTTTTCCTGTGACATGTTATATTACGGTCTCTCCAGAAGTCCTTTGGCATTATTTTTTTCTGTAATTTGTTTCTATGCTGTGAGTCAAAAGCAGACTGCTTTGTTAATAACAACAACAACAACAACAACAACAACAACAACACAAACCCATTCAGTTCTCATCACCTGGTTCTCTTTTGCCTCCGTACGGTCCACATCAGAGGCAAGTCCTCTTGAACTAAGATATCAGAAAGCCCCTTCCTCATCCCATTAATATGTATAATTTTCTTTCTCAACACCAATGCTCTTGAAAAGTCAAGGGACCCAAAGACACCAACAAGTGCACTAAGCCTGAGATCCCCTTAGCCTTTCTGTGAGGATAAGTTACACAGAACCACTGCTTATGTTCCACATACTAGAGAATGGCAGGAAGTGGCTCCAGTTCCGCAAAGCTGCGTGCTTTGCAATACAATAGCCATCTTTGTTTTATTCTCTTAATGCCTGTGTGTTTTATTAGAATTATAAACTAATGATGTAGTTAAAAAATTTTTTTAATGTTTTATTTTATTTTTGACAGAGAGAGTGCCAGAGCATGAGTAGAAGAGGGGCAGAGAGAGAGAGACAGAGAGAGAGAAACACACAGTCTGAAGCAGGCTCCAGGCCCCGAGCTGTCAGCACAGAGCCCGACGCGGGGCTCAACGCACAGACCACGATATCATGGATATCATGACCTGAGCTGAGGTCGGACACTCAACCGACCGAGCCACGCAGGCGCCCCAATGATTTAGTTTTTACAACTATTCCACGTGAAGTCCTTGTGCACAGAGTTCTGCCAGATTTTGCAAATGTAACAGAATCGCAGGAAATGATGTCCCTCCTCTCCTCAGACACAAAAGCATCTGAGCCACTTGCCTCCTGGCTGGCGAGGGGCTGGGCGGGGCCTGCAGCCTGTTGCCAGGCAGCCCAAGTGATGTTTCCCGAGGCTGCTGCAGGAGCTCTGGTTGCCTAGCAACCGGGTCCTCAGCCACAGCATTTCTCTTAATGAAGGTTTTTCAGGATTCTCTGTGTGATTACCTCTGCTGAATACCTAGATGCATTACCTCTGAATTACCAATTTATTCCTCCTGATTAGGTATAATTTTGCATCAAAACCATTTTGCACAACTTTGTTCAAAGTCCCTTTCCACTTCACTTTCTATTAGAACTGCTAGCTGATTTGGTGGAGCTTCCAAACACGACTTTTCCAGCTGTGGTTTTATAAATAAGAGTTACTTAATAAGCATAATGTGGTTTTAAAGTCATTTTATTTTAGGTCATCTCTTAGGAACACTGAATGTAAATTCTGCGCTGAGTTCTTAGCTTTATGCTCTATTTAGTTCTCAACGTCTTAGAGCAGAAAACACACCTTCCAGACGTTGTCACCTGACTTAAAAGACAAGCCAGAGTGGACCTTGAACTTTATTATATTTCATAGTTCCCTAGAAGAGATGACAGAAGAAATAAAAACTAGATGTGCTTTTTTTTACATCTGTGATATAACCTATATAACATTAAAAAAAATCTTTCATAAAAGTTTGACTAGTTGTTTTCCAAAATTGAATAGTATTAATACTATTTCATCTATAATGAATTGGCTAGTCAGTTCAAACCTTCACAACACTGTAAAGATGTTGCTTAAGGCTTTTCCAAATAATAGCATGTTTAATAGCATTTTAGCATGTAATTCATAAAAGCTCAATTTGAAGCTTTTCAAAGCCAGATTTGTACCTTGGAGGTTTCACAAATACCTTTGTCCACAGACTTGTATAATGATTTACAATGTTACATTAAATTTATCTTACAGTTTAATATTAAAAAAAGTAGTCATGAGCATCAAAATAATTTCATGCTTGATTCAGGAACTTTTATATTCTTTCTCTTATATAAAGATTCAAACTAGACTAAGACATATAAACCTTCCGTTCCTTTTTCTTTTTTTTAAGTTTATTTATTTATTTTGAGAGAGAGAAAGAGTGACAGAGAGTGTGTGAGTGAGTGGGTCAGAGGCAGAGAAAGAGGAAGAGAGAGAATCCCAAGCAGGCCCCGCACTGTCAGCACAGAGCCTGATGTAGAGCTCGGTCTCACAAATGTGAGCTCATGACCTGAGCTGAAACCAAGAGTTGGATGCTGAACCGACTGAGCCACCCAGGCATCCCATCCCTTCCTCTTTCTAAACACACAAAAAAGAACCCCCCCCCAAATCCACACACAAAACAAAGCCAAAATTAAAAACAAAGACATAGGATCTGGACTACCCTCCTAGTTAATAACTGCCCCGAAGCTTTTAACCAAATTCTAGGGCACTCCCAATTTCTCGGGAGCATAGGGCTCCCCTACTGAATATTTAGTGATTCCTCAAAAATCAGATATGCATTATGAGGTCTTCTTCATAATTTACTATACTGTGATTGGATCGGTCTGAATGAAACATACTTCCCGTTCCAAAAAAAATTCTAATCCCATACATAAAGGCCATCATATTGGTTTTCAATCACATGAATAAATATTTTTAAAAACGGGAAATTCTACCATTTCCATTTTTATCTGCAAGCTCTCTGAAGACTTGTAATGACCGAATGAAATCAAAGGTATATAGTAAATGTGGGTTTTGTGCCAAACCCACCCACAGAGCTGATGAAACCATAGGTACCCTCACCCTATCACCCAGAAAAGCTGATGTGGTTGCTCTGGGTTTGGGCCTGTGCACGGGCATTGCTGAATAGCTCCCTCGGTGGGTCTGACTGAAGAAGGCACTTATCCCAGGGGTTTCCCACGTTCCCTCAGGGCCCACTGAGGGTGTGCCTGCGTTCCAGCGGGGAAAGGACATCACCCCCCATGGGTACCTGTGTGGTGGCTGTTGAAGTGGTGCTGCTTCTCGATCCCCACATCTGCTGAAACTGTACCCTGATTTCTGCAAATGTTTCAATGATGACAGCAATGAACACGTTCTGAAAGAAAATCCCGACCCGGATGAGAAAGTGTAGGGCAATGAAAAGCAAACAAAACATCATCAGAGGCTGTGGGGGGCGGGGGGCAGACCGATTCCACTGGGGCCAGTTTCTATGGTACCTTCACAAGCCAGGCCAGGAAGAATATGAGCGTGATGAAGTAGAAGTAGGACCGCCAGCGGGGGAAGCTGTCAATGGCTCTGTACATGAGGAATACCCAGCCCTCCTGGGATGCAGCCTCATAGACGGTGAATATGCTGGTGCCTGTGGGGACACAGGAGAGCGCACCGACTTACAACGGGCTTTGGAAATGGGGAAACGCTTTTGAGAAAAAACAATCGATATTTATCCACACTCATTTTCTCAATGACAAAAGCTCTTCTAAAGGGACTCAAATAGCATGCAATTTATTTTATTGTTCTTATTCTTAGGATTTTGACAAAGTTGTTTCTGACTTCAGGCCAGGGCCCTTTCATTAGCAATAAAATAACTTTATGTTATATCTGTCCCTGTTAAATGCGTCTAAGAGCGTGGAAAAGGAAAGGAACCCTCAAACCAAGTAAGCTATAATAAAAAATAATGTGTGCAGTACAAGCTTGCCATTTGGGGCTTAACACTTTCAGTGTGCTGAAAGCACTTGTTATGGTTTTAGCCAAAATGAAATAAATTTGAGAACTGGGTTTCATCTGAAGTCACTTTCCCATAGGGACACTAAAGTACCTTAGGCTCCAAAAATTAATGTGACAGAGCCTGTCTTTGGATTCCATTGTGTTTACTGAACACCGAAATGTAAGGCAATAAATCATCAAATAGCACTCTGTATCTCCACTTCTGGGAGAATTGTCTCATTGAAAATACTATTGATGATGGAAAGAAAGAGGAGCGAACAATATGCAGGCAGATTTTTGCTGTAGTGAAGAGAACCTAAAATGCCATTCAGGGGAAAGACAGTGTTTGCCTTTCATGACATTATGAGGGATGTGTTATTATTTCCCCACTTTATAGATGGGAAAACTAAGGCACAGAAAGAGTAAGTAATTTATCTAAGGGTGCACATATAATAATAGGGGAACTTGAATTAATCCAGTCATTCTGGAAAGAGGCTCTGTGATGATACCAACTGTGATGGTATCTTGCCTCCTGATATCTTTTCTGTGGTTTGTTTTCCCCATCTGTAAAATGCATAAATAATAGCTCCTAGTGTGGTGAAGATAATTTCATTTCTGTAAAACACTAACACAGTGGATATGTAATAAATTTTAGGTACTATTATTGTAAACATTGAAAATAGTTGCTTAATAGTATTTGGTGAGAAAACACATAAGTAAAAAGTACGGTACTGAGTTAAAGTTTGTAAAACACACATGATGCATATTGTTATTCACAAAACTGGTGAACATTCGCACCCCAATAAATGCCATTGGTACAAATGGATTAAGTATTATGGGATATAAAACCAATATCCACCCATCTATGTTCTAATCGCACAGAAATTTAAAACTAGGCTCTTTATACAATCAGATGTCCAAACTAAGAAGGGGGTTACTAAAGTTGGCTGATGGCCAGCTGCCTCTCTGAGCCTGTGAATGAGGGAAGAATAATTAGAGCATCAATGGACCAAAGCATGCAGGACAACAGAAAGCCTTGTGGTAAATGGAGACAAATGGGACATATGCAGCCTTGAAAGAAAAGCTGAGAGAAAGAAGGAAAGCAAATACTCATTGAGAGAATGCCTATTATGCTAAGTACTGTATATAAAATATAATGTCATAGAATCATATTTTGTACATTGGAAAGTTGTTGCCCTAACAACTAGTATTTGTAAATCCTACTTCGTTTTAAGGTTCTTTTACCTATTTAAATGCTCAGGAAAACCTCCGTCTAATTAGGCAGGTAGATGGGTAGTTGTGTATAAGAGCTGGTATTATCCATCACATCCTTTTACAGAAAAGGAAACTGAAGGTCACTGGATAATGAATTTGTCTGGGGTAGAAAATGACAGAACCAGAAACTGAGGCCACACCATCAGTTACCAAGTCTTTTAAACTCTTTTCATCTTTACTATCTTACTTATATTTTCTCTTGCTCAAGACTGGGACTTTCCAAAGAGCGTATTTTCTCCCATGAACCTTAATTTGAATGAAGTCCATTTTTTTTCCTGAGGGACTATGGTGGCTAAGGTTGTAGCATACTGAGAAAATCATACAGGCAGATGATTTTTAAGGGTAAGATTCAGGGAAGAAAAGCATGCACAAAAAAATAAAATGCCAATAGAAAAACAGAAATGATTCTTTTCATTAATGATTCATACATACTAAAAATGTCCAAAATATTTGCTTTTGTGGACTGCATACGAAAGACAATTTTCACATAAAACAAGTAATTTATGTTCCTTATTTTCTTCTAGTTATTTGAACTACAACAGAAATGTGGCTACAAGAAATCCATTATGAGTAACTAGTAAAGCCTAATAGTTTTACCAATTGAGATTTACAGGTAAAATATGAGGACTGTCAATGTAAGACTACATTTGAGAGGAACACTGAATTATCCTTCTTCTATTTGTCCAGGTCCTTCAATATTAAATCTACAGGGAAGATGCTATTTGAAAGTAAGTAAAAATAACAGTATGTTCTTATCTCAAAGAGTTTCCTTCATTTTTTCTAATTTGACACACACACACAAAGGGAAAGAAGTAGAAACCCACCATGCGGCTCAAAGAGCAGCATTTGTTGATACAAAGAGATCAGACATTTGTGAAAATCTAGCTAAAACACTTCCCAGAACAATGCTGACTGTTGAGGAAGTGAACTCCCCTGGGTCAAAGGCTGGGAGGATGCACCTATCAGTTGTAGAAGAGAAGGCATTTGGATAGGACCTTCCTCATCACTTTTCTGCTGCTGACTTTGCAAAGTGTACGAAAAGAAAATCCATTGGAAAGATTTTCCAATTGTTCAACATTTAAACGGACAAAAATGGAGTTTATGAACATCTTATTTTCTCTGGGAAGTGAACAATGCTGGGGAAGAAGCCAAAGGTACCTAGCTCACACATGCTGCTCTCTGGTGCCTCCTGGTGCTTGTCTCTGGTGTGCTTAGCGGAGTCCAGTGCAGCTCTTATCCAGCCCAGCTCACCTCCATTGCCTTCAGGCCACACTGGGTTCTCAGATCTCCCAAGGAGTCCTCCGTGCACCTGTGTCTCCTATCACACTTACTCCTGCTGCCTAGTTTATCTCCCTCACTAGCACTGACTAGCTGACTAACTTGGAGAGCACTCTAAGTTAAAACTATCTTTCACTTCTGTACCTGGCATTGATGAGCACTCAATTGTTGATAAATGAAGCCATTATCATGGTATTAAGACACAAAGGCTTTTCTCAAATATTTGCTTTTTTAAAAAAATTAATTCTTCCTCACTGTGATTATTGCACAATTTGGAAGCAAAGGGGATAATTTTATGATTGACTTTATGTTTTGCTGACTTTCAAAATTCACTTAAAACACATACACGTATGCAAATTTCAAAGTCCACACTACATATAAACAAGAAAGTCTTCCTGTATTGTTTGTGCCACCATGGAAAATTTCTAAAAAATATTGTATTTTATATATACAAAATATTTTCTTTTTTTTAATATATGAAATTTTACAAAATATTTTCTAGATATATTCCAGAATACTTTAAGTCCATTTTAACTATAGAACTAAACTTGCTACCTGAAAAGAACACATTTTGTTAAATGAATAATGATTCTACAATAGCATGTGGGGATAGAATGCATTCTCTTACTGGAGAACATTGTGGCCTGCTCCAAAAATATCTCTGTGAAGCTATTGGAATTGTACCACTTTCTTAGACTCCAAACTCTCAAAGCATAAATTCAAGTTGTATAAGAAACAAAATCACAACGACACTCAGCTCATCAATCCTCCTAATTTCATGCACCTTTCCTGACCTCTTTCACTGATGGTTTGAATTTAGTGGATAAGAAGACCTATTAGTCTATATTTGGAAAATAAGTTCCTGGGAACTTGCTATAGGCTATATATATTGAGACATAGCAGTGGATTTTTTTTTCTAGTTCTGAACAAAATTATATTTCCTTTGTTTTGACTATCTTTAATATTACATTTATTGCTTGGCTGTCGTCTGCTGACTCTTTTTCCATTAAAAAAAAAGTGATGAATTGACTGTCTCCTGGGAATATTGCCTATTGTTTATTCTAGTCATAGGTTACAAAATACCATGGAGTCATTCAACTTTCAAAGAACAGGGCCACAAAACTGTGGTGACAACTAATAATAAGCTACTAACCTGGGGTCCCACCATTAGACTCCTCTTCAAACCCAAAATATATGTGATGCTATTCTAATGATGGTGATACCCAATCCATTGTGAAAATAAAAGGGGGGGGGAGTTAGAGTTGGTGATGTAAGCTTGAGACAATTGAATAAGTAAATACATCAGGCTTTAGTCTGGACAATAACCTTTACCTTCATACTCAAAATTCCCAATAGAACCCAGAAAGTTCCTTTTAGGACCATCCATTCCATCCTCTCTCTCACTGTTCAAGGATCCTTGGGGAAATGTTCCTGAATTTTAATCCCTCCAGTGATAGAGAACACAGAACCTCTTGAGGCAGCCCCATTCCAGGTCTGACAACCCATCCCATTGGATGTTGGCTCTGGCTCGGTCCCTCTGGAATGTGCTCTCGGTTTTGCAAACCATAGCAAGCTACAGGAGTCTGGAAGTGGTCCCTTCACTTCCAGAGTGAATCATCCCTCCTTCTACAATCCTGCTACAGATACTTATTTTCTTATCTGGTCCTTTAACGTTCTCGACCTGCTGTACTTCTGATAAAATTCACCTGATTGTCTGGCTTCATTTCCCACCAGGCTCAGACTCTCACTTTTGGAGGGCACAGTGATAGTATTTTTGTTATTCAAGAACATCAGTTTCCTTCAAACTTATTCTAAGTTGCTCTTTCTGTTCCTCTGGCTGCCTTTGATAGGATCTCACTCTTTGGACATCAGCTGATTGAGTTTTCCTCTACTATAATCCAGTTTGAGCATCCCCTTCAGTTGGAAGGGAAAAGAAAGTTACATGCTTCTCTACCACTACATTTGAATGTTTGTGATCAAAAAGTGCCTCAATAATCTGCTCTTAACCAGTATATTTAACTGTGGAAGGATAGAATCACCATCCTAGACCCCAAAAGGATGCTTATTTGATCAACTACAGTTGCAATGACTAAATATTCAGTC